TGTGTGTGTTGATTTGTGTGCGTTTGGCCGCTTTTAGTTCGAAACATCTATTTTTATTATACTTTATAGAAACAACATAAAACCCAAGCATCTGGTACAAAGATTATTCATTTTGTCTAACACTAGTAATAAACGAAACATCTGATTTCAGTTTTGCTACCTGTCATTAAAATAAATAATTCGGAGAATCACAGTCGAAATGTTATTTCATTCCACTTTTCAGAAGCGTTCCGATTGTACTGTTGAGTGGCATAGAGAACATGCCTTTTTTCAATGAACAAACTTAACCACATGAATACCCCATGCGTATCTGAGTTTGTTGTTGTTGTTGTTGTTGTTGTTGTTGTTGTTGTTGTTGTTGTTGTCGTTGTTGTTGTTGCTGTTGAAAAAGCTAACCTATTATTGCGTGTGTTTGCGATCATTACAAGCTACTAGCTATTTATTATTTCCTTTATTTTTTTCTCTCTCTGCCATGCAAGCCACCTGCGTTGGTTGACAAGATCAATGTTTTCGTTTTCTCCTTGGATGTTAAAGGTCATCACCAGGTTCATGTTGACGAACTATAATTATTGATATCATTATTATCGGTACTTTAGTTTGGAAATGTACATGGAGATAATTCTGTTCTTAAAGAACTGGACAAGTTCATAACAGACACATAGAAAACAACAACAACAAACAAATACACCCCCCCTAAAAAAATAATAAAAATAAAGATAAAAACAAAAACAGATAAAGAGTTAAGAGGAAGGACCTTTAAGTGGAGCCCGTCAACCATTGCACAATGGCCAATCTGATTCGTTTATAACACCTTTAACTGAACACCCCCTGCCGCTATGTCAAGACGAAGCAAGCTTCCATGATAATATGCAATATCGATTGCACCCAAAAAATTTATTGAATATGTAAATGTTACGTCCCTATCGAAATACAAGTAAATTAGATCATCTGGGAGGATGTCTGCTTGTCGAAGCCAACTCTAACTGGGTAGTATTGTTTTTTTTTAAACCCATGGACTATCGTACACAGCGTCCCTATAATATCAAACAAAAAGTCCCTCCTCCTCCCCAGTCGCTATCTCGCGGCCTATATAATTTAGCATAATTATAAGTCTGACGTCATCAAAAGGCAAAGCCTTTTTTACGGGAGCACGTGACACATTCTTCACCAAAAGAGTTATTTAAACTCAGTTCCCTTTTCACAACTTCATGAAGAAATTGAAGTTGTTCAAGATATGAGACCTCCGATATCAACTTACGAGGGCTCTCTCCCAAAATTAAGGCGAAGATGACCTTATCTCAAGTACGATGCATGTATAAGTGGTGGGTCTGGAACAGGCATTGTCTACCATGATACCCAGCACCTTTATGTTGTCCGTCTCCCTGATGAGCTCGGTTTTTTTTCTCATTTTACTATTTGTGTGGAAGCTGTTCATGCCATCTGTGTATGTTGTTCACTATCTTCCTCTGTTCTTTCTTCCGTCTATCATTCCAAACCGCAACAGTTTCTCAAGCCCCTTTGGTCAATTTATGTGCACAAATAATCTCAGTTGTCTCTTTCTGATGCTTCTGATTAAAGATCTTCCACGGCTGCCATTTAGAGCACTTTTCTTTTTTTTCTTTTTTTTGGGTTTGTTTGTCCAAGTGATTCTGAGTATTCTTGAATTCTACTTTTTGGCCGCCTTCAGTCTTCTTTCTCTGTTCGTATTTAAAGTCCAGCTCTCGTATCCATGCAAAAGAACTGACAACATGTACACTTTCAGGGCTCCTAACCCTATGTTCACTGTTATGCTTCTGTTCGAGAGGACAGATTTCATTTTGAAAGTTTCTTTACAAATTGCAATCCTTTTCTATCGCTGTGTCACTTTTATTTGCAGCTGTTGCAATTTGTGGAACCAAAGTATTAAAAGTTGACTAATCATTTCGTTTTTACATGTGATATTGTATTCCCTGGAATGTAGGCACTATCTGAGATCCGTTTTCTTGGCTTTCAGTTGGACTCAGGATCAGCTACCTAGACTATATAGTCAGCGTACCTTAGGTTGTTCATACTGTGGCCGCTTAAAGAGATCCAGTTACAAGACACATCCTTGTCGCATTCAATTGTGGATTGACCTGTATTCGCTAAGCTCGTTCTTAGTCCTGATAGTTGTCTGCTATTCCCATTAAATAGTTCTCTGAATTCTGAAGTCGGTCCCATCTATGCTAAGATCTTATTTTTCTTCTTATCAAAAGTACCACCACACTGCGCCATGTTCTCTGACCACGACTGTTTCAGTACCTAAAACGCGGCCGTGTACCCTGAGCGAGACCAAAAGCATTACTTGAACGCGGCTGCCGACGTTTTGCAACAATATCGTCAAAAATAATCACACAGTTACAAGAAACAGTCAGATGTTTAGTATCAGCATCACTGCTATTCTCACCCTGCATCAGGATATAGACCACAAACACGTTCCACCTTTCCCTATTCTGGGCTCTTAATAATGAGTCCATGTCTAAGATATAGAAGAGATACGTATAACAATTGACTTCTGGCCCAAAATGATCAAAATAGTACTCAAAATACATCAAACTTGAGAGATAAAGATAGAATATTTACGATGGGATCCGTTTACAAGTGGAAAAATGACGCTCTGGTTAAAATGTAACGCGATATATAATCGTTTTTATTTCCCAGTTAAATCTTCTTGTTTAATGTTTTGTCGGCTTTTTGCTGCTGTCCGTGTACATGTTTGTTGCGTTTCCGTACATCTGCAATGTAATGCTCTGGCACGCCAGATGATGAAGCAAAATGACACAGCACACCCCCTGAGAGCAGCGTCATTGCCTCCGATCAGGTTAGCGATACGATGGTCCATGGTGGCTATTTTATGGGCTGGGAAGCCTAACCGTCTGTACATGATCGTCAGTCATAATGATCTCTCCCTCTCTCCCTCCATCCCTCCCTCTC